TACATATTATCTACACGTCCATTTTTAAGATTTCCATATGTTTATAGATCTACTTGATTTTTAACCATTTTTGAAATTTTAAAATTTTATAATTAGATATAAAAATAAATTATGAGATAATCCTAAGAACAATTTAAATCAAAATTATATACCATGATAAAATTTGAAGGTGCACCTTACCTCCACAGCTCTGGATGCATCCCTATGCCAATTGCACCCATAGAACAATGTCAGCCAAAAGAGTATAAGAAGTAAACTCATTCTAAAAATAGCAATAATACTAGTGTCTCAAGGTTGAATAGAGACCGCCTAACTTTTTGAATGCTAGATCTAAGAGTCACAAAAATTAAAATTTAAATCTGTAAAATTAATCACCTTTATATAGTTTCCATATTTTTAGACTAAAAAATCGACCTAGGTATTTTAACTGAGGTAGTATATGTACAGTATACTCCCACATGAGCATTATATGCGCGGTCTCCAAATAAAACATGATCCATGCTTTCGAAAAAAAGTACGGCATGTCACATACATGCCTTACTTCACTGCCTCTATATGGGTACAACCCTTTCGCCCCTGCCAATCATCCTCAAATTTTCTCTCCCTCACTGATCCCTCCCCTTCCTTCTCCTCTGGTTTTGCTCTCTCTCTCTAGTTCTTCCCCTTCTCTTTCTCTTGCTTTCCCTCAACTGGTTTTTTACAGTCTTCCTCTCACTCCATTCATTTTCGACTCTATCAAAACCATCTCTCTCATGGCATTCATCTCACTCCCAAACTGCACCAACCTAGCTCCTAAAATCCCCCAAGTCCACCGCCGCTCCCAGTCAAAACCCCGGGCCTTCGCCTCCCTCCCCCCTACCACAAACACCCCCACCACCATAGACCTTCCTGCGTACCTCACCGCGGTCTCCTCGAACCTTGACGCTCAAGTCTCCCACACACTCCCCCTCCAGCCCCCGCATATTGTCCACGCTCCCATGCGCTACTGCGCCCTCTCCAACCCCACCCCCCTGGCCCCTGCAGTCTGCATCGCTGTGGCCAGCGACCTCTTCGGTGTCCCTCACCCCACCGCCCTCATCCCCGCCCACGCCCTCCACCTTGTCCATGCCGCCGCCCTGATGCACGAGGACATGCCCGCCCTCCTCGATCGCACCACTCGCGCGAACCGCCCCACCACGCACATTAAGTTCGCCCAAAACGTCGCCATCCTCACTTACGACGGCCTTGTCCCCTTCGCATTTGCTCACATCGCCGAATCCAACCTCCCCGCCGACATCTCGCTGCGCCTCGTAGCAGAGATTTCAAAGGCGATGGGATCACAAGGGTTCGCCTCCGGCCAATACATGGAGGCTCAAACCCTGAGCTGGGCCGATGGTTTCTTCGACAAAGACTGTGCGGATCAAGTGCATAGCATGAAAATGGGAGTTTTGGTTGAGTGTGGGGCGGCCTGTGGGGGTATTGTAGGAGGCGCAAAAGATGAAGAGATTGAGAGGCTGAGAAAGTACGGCAGGGCATTGGGAATTATGTATCAGATCCTTTGGGATATTAAAGAGAAAGAGAGAGGGGGGTTTGGAAAGGCTAGCTATGCGAGGGGTTATGGGGCGGAGAGAGCCATGGAGGTGGCGGAGGAGATGGGGCGTGAGGCTCGAAAAGCTTTGGAGGGTTTCGATCCACAGGGGACACAGCTTTTGGAGGGCTTTGCCGATTGTGGTGCTGCCGCTCATGTTGGGGTGGGCCTCTAATGGTGCTGCCGCTCATGTTGGGGTGGGCCTCTAATGGTGCTGCCGCTCATGTTGGGGTGGGCCTCTAATGATGCTTTCATTTGGTCTGCTGGATATTCGGATGGTATTATGAATTGGAATTGGAATTGGAATTGGAATTGGAATTTGAATTGAGCTGCAGTCAGAGTGGTATTTGCCTTTTACAAGTAAAGTGGAATTTGTGGTACACTTTCTTTTTGCCGTTCTTTCACTGCCTGTACTCCAAAGTTAATTGGAAACCTGTGCACATGCTGCACGTAATGCAACGTGTTACATACTTTGTTATAAAAGTGGAAAGTTGGCAGCCGTCCTCACCGTTCATTAATTTGGATGGTGAGGATTTATTTGATGAAGTCAATGGAAAACCGGGGCACCTAGGCCCTGCTAAAACCCGCCCTTTTCTTCTGACATCTTATTTTTTAGTCCCGTTTTTTTCCTCTCTATTCCTTATCTCAATCAGTGTCGGAAAAAAAATAGGGCTGTTCAAATAAATTCCAACTAACCGGTTAGATCCGAACCGATTACATGAATCAGTTAGGGATTTAAAAAAATAAAATAAAATTCTAAAAATAAAATATTTTATTGGTAATGTATTTTTAATGTTGTTTTTTTCATTTTTACATTATCCTATGGTTTTTTAAAAAATACAAAAATACCCTAGCATATATCGATTCTCTAAAATGCTTTTTTTTTTATTAGTAAGATCGATTCTCTAAAATGCTTTTTTTTTTTATTAATTTTCGACTTCATTTAGATGTGTATTATTTAATTATATTTTAAAAATATTTTTTATATTTTATTAAATTTTTTTTATATTTTTTTAACACTTTTCTGCCTGTCTAAGCTTTACCCGATTAGACCAGTTGAACTGCCTTTGGGTATTTCCAGTTAACCGATTTGATTTTTCCTACACAAATCTCAATTGTCTCTCTCATCTCATCTCAGATAAAGGAGGGGCAACCCCTTCAATGATGAATCATCGCTTTCTATGACTCTCACGTCCAAGAAAAAACCCTAGCCCCTTGGTACAACTCTCTCTCTCAAAACCTAGCAATAGTGAGTGAGTTTCTCTATAAATCTCGCTATTAGTAAGAGGGAGAGAAAAAAGTTCGACCCCTTTTCTCCTTTAACCAGCTTGATTGAAATATGATCTCCAACATGTTTTGGCTTGAATCCTCAGAGCCCATTGCTATGGCTAAGAAAAACAAAGAAACATGAAAAAATAGCATAGAGAATGCATATGAAATTGAATGAACGACTAATGCGATATTGTCAGGTTGATATATATTTTTATTTATTTATTTCACTTTTTTTTTTTTCTTTTGATAAAGATCACTTATAAGTAGTTTTATTACAATAAATATTGCTTCAAAAAAAATAAAACTAACAAATCTAATATCTTAAAAACCTTGATGTCATTAAACCAATTTTTTTTAAACAAAGAAAATATCAACAAGTCTTATATGCTTAAGAATATAAAAACAATATAATTAAATATGACAAAAAAACAAAAAGAGAGTGCTGGAGATTATCGAGCTTATCACACTCCACATCGAGTCACCACCATCCGATGGTGCTGGATCAACGATCAACCTTCAATCTTAATCGAAAAGCAAGTTTAGGCCAAGCCCTTTAATAGAACTATGAACTTCTTTATCGCAAATCTCAAACCCGTAGATAAATCCCTTTAGCAACCTAGTTTTAGAAAATTAGGTCTCTTTTCTTCGACAACCTTATAGTTTAAAACCCCAATGAGAGATCAGCGATCATGAGAGAGTTGAGAGAACCACAATGAGAGAGATATCAAAGATGAGAGAGTGGGCGTACCCCTTTGGATCGATAGAGAAACAAAACTTTCTTAAGATAGAGATAGAAATTCTGAGTGAGGCGTGTCCCTTTGTGGGATAAGAGAGAAAGATGAGAATTAGGTGTAAGAGATAAGATGTAGAGATTTTCGGTAGAAACAATCCATTTTTATAGGCTTTGAACAAGTTTATAGTTTTTTAGGGTTTTTCTTTGGCTTGCCCTCTTGTGAGATTAAATATGAAATATTGATCTTGAGTGACTTGTGGGGTGAGAGATTTGAGACATCCATTCCATAAAATGGTTATCAACATTTTGGAAGGTGCTAGAACCTTTAACCCCCATTCCTAGTTACCAAAATATCCCCCTTTCCTAGTTACCAAAATTATGGACAAGTCTTCTCATGCTTTCCAAAAATCCATTGAAAGCTTCCTCAGAGCAAAGTCTTTCGAAAACACTTCAAGCTTTAAGAAAATTTCATTAGGGTGGGGTGTGCCACCCTAGGTGGTATTTCATAGGCCCCACCCACATGCAATGGTGGGCCCATTAGCATATTGGGCTTCCCATGCAATATTAAAATTATTAAAATTAATTATATGATAATCTATAAAATGGAATTTGAATATTTAAATCAATCTAAAATAAATATATCTATTTTTATAAATCCAAATTTGATAAATAAAATCTCCAGAGATCTAGAAAAATTCAAATGATAATTCGAAAAATCATATATCATTAAAACAAATATAATTAAATTTATTAGATGGAAAAAAGATCTATATGATCTAGAAATTAAATAAATAAACGCTAGAGCACTCCACCTTTAACTGTGGACCACGGTCCACACTTGTTTTATCAAATCTACCCAAAGTTTCTTATGACCCACAGTCCATACAAGGGCTCATTAGTGGGTCACCAAAGTCTGGCCAATCAGCCAAAGAGTCGTAATATCAGTTTGTGGATTTCGGGTTCTCTCCTAGAGACATATCAAGGTCATCTAGACCTGATGCGACCACAGCTCCTATGGCGCATAGCGGTCTCTGTCGCATATGCATAAACTTCAACCTAAAAGATGGTTCGCTTAATCGAAATAGCTATCATTATGTATGCCATGTAATGGCTCGCGGATGAAGCTTTGGCCCCCGTCTCTGAAGGCTACCATCACACAAGGGTCACACAGTCACTTGGCTGACTCATCCGGGCATACTCCAACCTCATAAAGGGATGACCTATTAGAACCCTTATCAGATAATTTCTTATGCCCAGGTAACATAGGTTTTTCACAACCGACTGCCCTAGCTCGTCAAGCTCAGTCCGGTATCAGCATAGCTTAGGATGGTCCATGAGAGACTATACTCTCATTGAGTTCATGTTCCACTATATTATTTTATTTTACAAGCACTCATAAGACCTTTAATGACCACACTCACCCAACAGAAACTAAGGTCTTCTCTCTATATCTACCAGAGAAATATGATAAAAGTGAGCTCAAATTAGATGAACTGAATCCACCAAAAAGATAATACGGATAGTGGATAAATGAGCTCTCTCTCTCTCTACATGCAATGTGAAGCCAAAACCGATGAAACAACACATATCAAAGTCAACTGATATGCGAAAAGAAAAAATAATAAATTCGTTAGTCGTAGGCCTAAGATTTAGTAGAAATAAAGAAGACTCGTAGGCCTAAGATTTAGTAGAAATAAAGAAGATTCCAATTTCAACCCAAGATGCAAAGCACTTAAAATATGACAAATACTAGGTAGTATTCATATATAAATCTACAATTTCATTTATTTGACATAGGAAATAGAAGCCAAAACCCCTACTCCATGAATCTACATTTTCTAAGCTCTTTACCTTCATATCTCTCCTATCATACCATGCTCCATGCCCATAATAGAGACTGCAAAACTAAAACCCTAAATCCTTGAATCTTCTCTAAATTGTTATTAATGACTTTATGAACTTTAGAGAGCGCAAATTAAACCCTAAATCCTTGAATCTCAATTGTTTCTAAATTGTTATTAGTGACTCATTAACTTTTATATAACTTCGAGATGAAGACTAAAGCAATAGCCCTCCATACTTTATTATCCTATCTCTTTTAATCGGGGTTTTTCTCGATTGAGGATGGCTGATCCTAAACCAACCTATTGAACAAAAGTTGCAGCCAATACAATGTAACAAATTCAGCTGTATTCTTTGTGAATTTGAATGCCTCTTTGTCAGAGATAAGGAACCAGCTGAGTAGAAAGAGTTTCGTGATAGGGTAGCAGGTGAAGGGCACCGACCCTGTTTCCCTTATCGGGGAGTGTGCAAGATCTGCATCGTCTAAATATATGGATGGTGCTGATGGCTGCAACCCAACTTTAATAGATAGGGGTGCAGCCTTACGGAAACTACATCCTCTAAAAATTAGCCAACCTAATTGGAACTAATCGTCGAGGCTGGTCCAATTCTACCTAAATATGACGTTGTTAGAGAACCGGTCCAACTTTATTTTTTCATATAAATTTTCTTTTCCCTAAATTTTTTTAATTTTTATACGTCGGTTCACTAGGCCGGATAGCCGATCCGCCGATCCCGACCAGCTTTTTGGAGGGGTGATCCGGGTTGTTGAGCTGTGTTTTAAACATTGCTATATACAAAGGCAAGCATGTTTTTCTCCAGGGAAAGCACACCAAACACGGCATAATGATCCTACGATGCATTCAAAGGCACATTTGTTTCGCCAAATGGACTTAACTTATTTCCAGCTTTTATTTCTTTCACGAGAAAGCAAATCGATTGCAGTGGATGACAAAGTGAGTTCATTTTCTTAAATGATGAGAGCAAAATCAACTAGGGTTTGTAGGGCTAGCGGGTCGGATCTGAATTGGGCCTATCCTTGACCAAACCCAACCTGTATCCTTATAGGGCAGGCTTGTATGGGCTCATAACTCAAGAAAGAAAAAAAAAAAACAAAAGAAAAGAGAAATAACAAGGACGGGGTAGATGTCGCTCAGGCGTTAGGCTAGAGTCCGAGGTTTTTTTGGTCAACCAGGCTGGGGTGGCCCGCCTGTCCATTATCACCCTACAGATCTTTTGAGCATTTTTTGGGCGAAGGAACTCTTTTCGAGTGTCCTGCAAACTCAGCTAGTCTAACTCCGAATCGTCTGATCAAATCGAAACTTGGCATTGGTCAATCCTGTTTTGGCCGGTTTTTACTGTCAAGCCGAGTATTTAAACAAAATTAAAAAAATAAAATCTCAAAAATAAGAGATTTGTTTGTAATATGTTTTTAAATTTTTTTGGAAAAAATTTCGTATATAACTCTAATTTCTCATATTATTTCATAGTAGACCCTCATTCTATTTTTCTTTTAAGCGACATAAAAAACCCTTAAAGATTTCACCATACGCCCTCATCTCGTATCTCTTTATTTTATTGACTTTTGATCATAAAAATTAGCCTCCAAAAAATATTTTTATA